ACACACACACACACACACACACACATATATACACACACACTCACACAATTGCCCAAGGCTGCAATTGAACCCAGGTCCCTGGTGCTGTGAGGCAGCTGTGCTAACCACAGAGCTACTATGCTGTCCCCTGAAGAGACCCTTCAGCCCATCAAGCCTGCATCGACCTATCTACCCTAATCCCAATTTCCAGCTCTTGGCCCATAAGCTTGAATGTTACGACATTTCAAGTGCTCATTCCTGTTCTGTTTTAGAGGTTGTGAGGTTTCCTATCCTACTATACAGTGTATTCCAGATTCCTACCATCCTCCGGTTTGAAGATGGTTTCCCTGAAATCCCCACCAGACCTCCTGCCTTCACCTTAAATTGCTTTATTGTGTTAAATCATTTTGATATTTCAGCAAAACCCAAATGTCTTGACCCATCTCACATGCAGACAGTGCCATTCCTGAATAAGATAACAGCAGCTACTAATCACCTTTTTCTTCAATTGCCAACAAAATCAGTTGAGCTGATGATGTTGTAGTGCACTTGAACAGGACATTGATTTTCCTTAGGGACATAAGTGGGGTTCTACTTGTTTTTGAAGGTGAAGGTTTGAGGGATAATCTGCATTCAAAAACAAGGGAAAAGTATAGATCAGTACATTACTGTACCCCACACCCCTGTGTTATTTTGTCAGTGGTAGGAGTATGTTACAATGAATTAATCCATTCACCCCTTCGCTCTCAAGTTCTGAACTGATTCCGAATGATAGTCCTTAAGAGTTGATGGGGGTTATACTTTGTTCAGAAAGATTTGGCATGTTAATATGTTAACATCAAACTATGACAGTGTGACCACGGCACTCTGGGGCTGGGGCACCGACTCCACAGGGCAGTGCCCAAATGACCGTGCCACAGGCACCGCAGTGCCAGTCAATGGGACACCCGTCGACTTTCCTCCTGTCTGTCCTTTTGTGAGAGTCCGTGCCTGGGCTGGATGCCTTCTAGCCCAGGGACTCTGCCCTTATATTTTCTTGACCCAGCAAGCCCTATGGAGAGTGATGTACCCCAAGCATTGCCCTGCTGTGGTTGGAGGGGTCCAATCACAAAAGCTACCTTCACGTCTGTGACAGGTTAAACTCTTGGAATCTCTGATTTGCAACGGTCGGATTTTAATCAGCTGGCGAGCAGTTCAATGCAAGGTCTGGCAGTGAAGTACATATATGTTTCATCATGATTTTGTTTCAGCCCTTCCTACAGCCTGAAATTCTACTAAGGGCATAGCAGAGTGGATGTAGATGTAACTTTACACATCAAAAATATACTTTATTCATAAAAAAAATCTTTATTTATAAACATAGCCGTTACAGCAGTTCGGTTCTTTTTACAGAGGACAAATAAACATCCCGACAGTTCCAACAAACCCAAAAGCATTTATTACTTGTGCAAGATACTGTTTACATATATTTAAGGCACTAGGAAGGTCCGATAACTGAACGACCCCCAATTAACTTGAGCAGAAAGACCTTATAGTGGTCTTTCCCCACTGCCCTTTGGCAGCAGCTGTCCCAAGCTTTAGTGAGTCCCTCAGCACGTAGTCCTGGACCTTGGAATGTGCCAGTCTGCAACACTCAGTCAGGGTCAACTTCTCGCTGTGGAAGACCAACAAGTTTCGGGCAGATATGGATGGAATATTCTCTCTGACTCTGGAACCTGGGGGAGCAGAATCTTAGAATAAGCGGAAAGCCATTTAAGACTGAGTTGGGGAGGAATCTCTTCACTTGGGGTGGTGAATCCTTGTGAATTCTCTACCCCAGAGATCTGTAGAAGCTCAATCATTGAGAAGGCTGAAGGCAGAAATCTTTAGGTTTCTGGAAACCCGTGACATTAAGTGGAGATAGTGTTGGAAAATGGTGTTGATGTAGATGTAGATGTAGACATGAACAATTGAACAGTCGGGCAAGTTCGATGGGCAGAATGGCCTGCTCTTATCAAAGCTCCTATGTTTGTACACACCAGACTGCCTGTTCTCCCGCTCTGCTGACACTTTTACAGTCATTTGCTTGTTTTCCATTTGCATCTTTCAGGCCTGGTGGTCAGCCATTTTTAACTAGGGACATGCAGGCTAGGTGGGTTAGCCATGGGAAATGCAGGCTAGGTGGGTTAGCCATGG